CGTGGAGGATGGCGGAGAGGTCGGGGGTGGCGGTGTTTGCTGGTGGTTGTTCGCCTGCGAGGTTGCGGGCGATGCTATCGACTGAGTCGGTGCAGATGTCAGACATGTTGATGGAGGATGCGGCCATGTCGGGGGAAGAGGGGGTGGAGGACGTGGCCTGAACGGGTGTGGAGGATGCAGCAGCAGCGGTGGCGGCGACAGCAGCGGCGACGTCAGTGGCGGCACGTTGGGAGTTCTTGGTTTGGCGTGGTGGCATGTGGAGGGTGGGGGGGGGCAATCCCTTATTTTTTTTTCAAAAAATAAATGCTGAACAGAAAGAGATAATTAATTTCGAAAAAGTAAATTCTGATTTAGATTTAAATTTATTTACAAGAAAACTTGAAATTTTGAAAGAAAATATTTTCGAATTACGGGGGAAAAAAAAAAATTCTGAACAGAATCAGGAAGAGGAAATATTTGGCAAGAATTTTTCAAAGGAAAATGTCGACATTTCAGAAAAAGGATAATTAATTTCGAATAAAGAGATTAATTCAGTCGTGAATTAATTGAATTTAGTCAAAATTAATTGAAGGGTTTAGAATAACATTTTTTTAAAAGAAAAGTACTTCCGAATTGTAAAAAGAGTTTCGAATTTCAACAAAAATTGCGAAAAGAAACTGTGAATTAAAATATTGGGAAAAAGAATTAATTAGAATTATTTTTGAATTTCCAAAAGAAATATCGAGAAAGAATTTTATTAATTGTAACGTATTTTCAAAATTTTCAACTTGAAAATAGTGCTAGCTCTCCTAAGACAGCACCAGTACAAGGTTAACTTGGAGAAATGCGAGTTTGGTCGCACCAAATCTTGTACTTGGGTCATGAAATCTCAGCAGAGGGACGGAGGCCAGATGATGCCAAGGTGGCATGTATACGTGACTGGCCTAGACGTCTGACTGTTACTCAGGTCATATCGTTTTTGGGGATGAGGGGCTACCATCGTCCGTTTGTTAAGAACTATAGTACTATAGCATTCCCACTAACAGATCTAACTGGACTTGACACCCCATGGGAGTGGACCGAAGAGTGTGAGGCGGCCTTTAGGAAATTGAAGTATGCCCTAGTACACTACGAGGTGCTCAAACTTCCTAGTCCTGATCAGCCCTTTGTTGTGACCACATACGCCAGCCAATATGGCAGAAGCGCCGTCCTTGCGCAAAAGGAGGGGAAAAAGTTGAGACCGATCGAGTATATGAGTAAGAAGATGCCATCTCAGAAACTAGCAAAGTCCACATATGAGCGTGAGCTCTATGCCCTATATAGAGCGTTGGTTCATTGGAGACATTATCTCCTAGGCGGATTTTTCTATGTGAGATCTGACCATGAAACCTTGCGTTGGATCAAGACACAGCTCCTGCTCTCTGATGCGCTCAAGAGATGGATACAAGTGATAGACATGTATGACTATTAACTTGATCCTATTAAGGGAGAGTACAACAAGGTGGCTGATGCGTTATCTCGTCGAGCGGATTATCTGGGCGCACCAGTGATTGAATTTGGCATATCTAGCGACTTGACTCGATCATGGGTGGATGCCTATCAGCAAGATCCAGTTATGTCTGAGATCATCCGTAGATTCCAAGCAAAGGACAAAAAGACTTCGGACGAATTTACGATGATAGACGGCTTGCTGTTTCTTGAAAAGGCAGGGAATAAAAGATTGTGTTCCCAGTAGTGAGTCTTTGCGTAGTTTATTTTTAGGAGAATGCCATGATGCAACTGGTCATTTTGGATACAAAAAGACATCCGCAAACTTAGTACAGAAATTTTGGTGGCCCTCTATGATGTTAGATGCCCAAAAATATTGAGAAACCTGTCAGGTTTGCCAACGCGACAAACCAAGAACTCAGGCTCCGCTTGGGCTTCTCCAGCCCTTGCCGATTCCCGAAGGTCCTGGCAAGAGTGTTTCCATGGACTTCATGGATACACTTGTCACCAGCAGGTCCAGGAAAAGACACGTCTTCGTCATAGTAGACTGCTTCTCCAAGTTTGCAAGACTTATCGCTATGCCTGAATCTGCAAAGACTGACCATGTCATCAAACTCTTCATGGATAACTGGGTACGCGACTTCGGTCTACCCACGTCTATAGTTAGTGACAGGGATGTAAGATTTACAAGCGAACTTCAGAAGTCAACTGCGGAGCAGATGGGAACCAAGCTCCAAATGACGTCGGGGAATCATCCTGAGTCAAATGGACAGGCAGAACAGATGAACCGAGTAGTATAGCACCTGCCGCGGCATTATATTAAGCCAAGTCAGGATGATTGGGACGAGAAGCTACCTCTCATCGCCAGCCTGTATAACAATGGTGTGCATAGTACCACCGGTAAGACTCCCAACCAACTGCATCTTGGTTGGAAGCCCAGAACTGCACTAGATTTCCTGCTATCGGAAAGTCAACCCACGGCAGCACCTGGCAGCATAGAATTCGGTCCAGTATGATCAAATGCTTGCAACAGGCCGTTGAACATATCAAGAGATCTCAAGAAGTTATGATTGCATCTGAGAATAAGCATAGACGGCCCTCTAACTTTCAGGTAGGTGATAGAGTCTGGGTCAAATCATCTGAACTCGACCAAGAGCTGGGTATATCCCATAAATTGATGCCACAGTACTTCGTCCCATGGGAGGTTCTAGACGTGATTGGGGATCAGATACATGGACCCTCCTATGTGATCCGCATCCCACCTCACTTACGTACGTGCCCTGTTTTCCATGCTTCCAAGTTGGCACCTTTCGCTGCTACAGAGCAGTTTCCTTCAAGAAGATCAATGCTGCCCCCAACCATGGATGGCGAGGTGGATATCGATCAGATCGTGGAGCATCGAATGATGCCTGTTCCTCGACCATCAGGCAGAGGGCTCCCTCCTAAACCGAGAATGCAGTATCGTGTGAGCTTCAGACATCATCTCGATCCCAAGGAAGATCGCTCGTTCACACGAGAAGAACTCCTGAGAACAACACCTCAAGTGATTGCAGGCTATGAAAGAGAACTGAAAGGGAAGACGCCTGCATAATAAGAGACTTCTCAGAGGACTAACAAAGTAAAGGAGGAGGGAATGCGAGGATCTGGGTCATCGACAGGCCTAAGGGGCCCCGATTACAGTGGTGCCCGCCCTAAGTGAAGGTGGGCCTAACATTTCATAAGAGGCCTTTGACTATCAATTTCATATTTGGGGTACAGACAGTTGCGACGCGCCAGTTGGTTGAGAGAAACACAGGCCGAGCAACCAAGACATTTCCACGGCCTTCTCGGCCTTTCCAATGCGTGCAGGCCCAGGACGAGAAACGCAGCCCCATACACTGACAGTTGGGAGGCCCAACCAACAGAGGCCCAGTAGCTGCGAAGTAGTACGCAGCATCCTCGGGCCTACCGGAAGCTCCTGGGCCCAGGCCAAGTCCTACCAGGCTACGAAGCAGGCGGGCTCTTTCCATATAGGAAAGAGCTCGCCACTCTCAGCCTCATTCAGGCACTCGCATGCTAGCGGCAGCGCTGCTGGAGCAAATGCTCGTGGGCTGCTGCAGGCGCTGAGAGGCGAGGTGCAGCACGTGCGGTCGTGCAGAAAAGCAGGGCGCGCTGCTGAGGGCAGCGCCATAGCCCAGCCACCATAGCTGGTGGGCTTGGACTACAGTGAGGCGCATAAGCGGTCTTCGGGTATAAGGGAGGACATACGTGGGTGTAAAGTCAGGGAAGGTCGGAGGATGATGATGATGATGATGATGTGAGGGCACATACCTTGTATTGGCGATGGTCTGCATTTGGGCGACATCTTCGAGTACTTCGGGTTGCCGCTGATGTCAACAGTTGCATTGTCTATTAGTAGGCTGATCGTAGTTGTGGAGGAGTAGGCTGGGCGCTGAGCGCCAAGTAGGAGTGTGAAGGGACTGGACTCTTGTGTTGTGGCGGAGAGAGAAAGCTCTCCTTGACATTGGTTTTCAGTACTATGAACCTCSATTGGTGTATTATTTGTGCAATGCTGCTCTCTGGACACGGTGTGACTATCTGGCTTTCAATGTGATGGTGTATTCTGGAATTGTCATCTCGCTGTTGCTTATTTTCCTTGCAAAACGGACTGGGCAGAAAAGAGACAATTGGTCCTTTGGGATGTCCGTTAAAATTGGGACGACACAGAGAAGATCAGGGCCTCGCTCCACTACTCACCACGTGCACAAAAGACAAATTATGGCGGTGTATCTTTCCATGTTCTAGTGGAAGATTCATTCTCATTTTGCACATTTGGTGAGTAATCCAGTGAGGCCCTATGTTGCATGCCCAGTTGGGCGATGTACATATACAACCAAGGATCCACAATGTGATGAAAAGGATTGAATGGACAATGCCGTGCTAGTGAAATCTCAACAAGCAGTGTACATCCTGATATATACAAAAATGGTGTTTTATAGCGCAGTGGAAGAGTTAGATACAAGTTCTGACCTGACAGGGACTCTCCTCTCTCACGTAGTACAAGACAGCGGAGCAGAATGCTAGAATATCAATGACGAGCGCACTCAATGTCGCAATGCAGACTAAACATACATCATCCTCATCACAGGGTGTGAAGGGGGGGGCCTGGCGCTACACACAGCAAGAATGCGCCAGGTCCAGATCATGCATAGACGAAACAAACGAAGAAAAGGAGGGGGGAGATGGGAAAGTCGTCAACACCAAGTCTTCGTTGCAAGTCCCAAATAATCCCTCGTCAAAATGTCTGCAGCCCAATGTCGAGTCTGGATCCAAATGTCACCAAGCTCTCTCTCTCTCTCTCTCGTAGTTTGCTGATGCAGTGAAGTCAGGTAATCAGAGGGTGAGAGGAAGATGGTGGACTGAGAAGAGGAAGAAGAAGAACTCTCTCTTTCTCTCTCTCATGTGCCAGGTACTAACCTGTGAAGATGGCGCTGTGCTGCAGGTACCTCGAAGACGAAGCTGGAGCTATGGCGCTGCAGGTGAGTCTCCCTGGCCTCCGCCCAATCTCTCTCTCTCTCTCTAGTACTACTCTAGCTCCTAATGGCACCGAGCGCTGAAGACTACTGCTAACGCTACTAGCGCCCATCGCTGAAGACTACGCCTAGCGCTACTACTACTAGTGCAACGCTCCTCCAGAGTGCTGCTGCCGAATTCTGAAGACTACCTCCTGCCTCCTAAACTGCACGTGAAGTGTCTGGGAAGTCCCTATGACACTACCTGCAGCTTGCAAGCCGGGCCAGTCCTATATAGTGCTGGCCCGTCCAGGAGGCTGCTCTTGCCAATGACAAAACGTGCCAGACCCTGGCGTTGAAGCTCAACCAAGGGTCGTCTTGAAAACAGACCCAAAATGGCATGTGATAAAACCCTGCGCTGGTGCGTGAGTTTCAGGGCAGGTCGATCTTATCAGGGCCTGAAAATGGCCCTCCGTTTCAGGCTGAAAAGACTCAGGGTCGGTAAGGCCCCTGTTTTCGGCTGAAACGCACAGGGCCTGTAGGCCCTTGTTTTTAGGCTTTCGGGCTGAAAACGACACGGGCCTGGAAATGGCCCGTGCAGCCTGTTGCAGGCGCAGCATGTAACACCCCCCCCTCCTTATGAAGTCAAGCCGGGTCGAGGGCAAAGCTGATGATCTGAAGGTGGAACCTGGACGCGGGTGCGACGTGGAGCCGAAGATACTGCCTTGCCTTGCATCTTGCATTCGTAGCGTGCGAGAACATCTGGAGCTGTTGCTTGGAGTTCCGCAAGGGTCAACCAACGGTCAACTTTGTGAGTGCAGTACACAGTGTACGAAGTACTCAGTTGGCCTGTTGCTGTAGCGTCGCTGGGAGATGATGTCGCCGACCTCTTGAAAACCGTCCATAGAGGGTGGGTCTTGCGATCGTCGTTCCGCTGGCGTGTAAGGAGCAAACTTGGAGCAAGGAAAGACATGGTAGACGGGCAAGTGGGCGGGCACCTGAATGGCGAAGGAAGGTCCTTTGGGTGCATCTCCGGTGGGTGCCACGATCGGCCAGGGCCCTGTCCATTTCGGGAGGAGCTTGCGAGAGATATCTTGTTCAAGGCTCAACTCCGCGGCGGAAACCCAAACGAGATCGTCGGCGCGGAATGGGCAAGGAAGACGCTGGCGATTTGCATGTTGGCTCATGCGTTGCTGCGTATTAGCCATCTGGTCGCGTGCGTTGACAAGTAGCTCTTGCATCCGACACAAGAAAAGAAGATGGTCGTCGCTCTCGACCGTTCGTGGAATGATTGTGTCCAACGAAGAAGTGACCGGCGAGCCGTGCTCGAACTCGAAGGGCAACATTCCGATAGTCGGGTGGATGGACGAGTTGTATGCCAACTCGACATCCGACAACCACTCAACCCAATCCTTTCGGTCGGGACGGATGAGAGTACGAAGGAGAACCTGTACGGTCTGATGCGCCCTCTCCGTTTAGCCATCGGTTTGGAGGTGGCAAGCCGAACTTGGCTTGAGAGATGAACCCCATCGTTTGATGAGCGCCAACCAAAAAATCCGACATGAACCGAGTGTCGCAGTCGCAGACAATTTCCTTGGGGTAACCCTTGGTTCGAATCCAATCGGCGTAAAGAACCTCGGCCAACTCCGGTGCCTTGGCTAGATAGCGGTAAGGCAAAAACATGGCGAACTTGGTGAGTCGGTCGACCACCGTGAGAATCCCATCCACACCGGTCTTGTGCTTGGGGAATTGCCCGGTAATGTCCATGGCAATCGCTTCCCTTCGGCGCAAGGGGACCGGTAATGTTCGCAACTCACCGTACGAACGATGGTTGCGGGATTTGCAGTGTCGGCAAACCTCGCATGACTCGCAGCCAATCGTGTGATTGACTCCAAAGTGTCCGGTGGCAGGAGTATCGTGGAACTCAACAAGAAGCCGTGTACGCAAGTGAGAGTCACTCGGTACGCAAAGAAGGTCCTTCCCCCGCGTGTGGACAAGCAAGTACCCCTCTTGGATCCGGTAGTGAGAAGGCGTCGAATTAGGAGAGGAGCAATTCGCGTATGTGTCTCGAAACTCGAGGTCGGCTTCGTAGCCGCTGATGAAGTTGTCCCGCAGGTCGTCGCCGATCTCGAAGGTCGAATAGACTGCGTACAATGATCCAAACTTCGTGAAAGAGCATTCGCAAAACGGTTTGACTTCCTCGGAATGTGATCGGGAAAGAAGTCAAATTGGTCGATGAAAGGCATCCAACGGGCGATGGTGCTATTGACGGTGTCTTGGGTCTTGTAGAAGACCAACGGATTGTTGTCCGTTACCCATTGGAATTGACTTCGAACAAGGAGGAAGTGTCGCCACCGCTTGAGAGCGTGGACGAAGGCTAGGAGCTCCTTGCGTGCATCATCAATGGAGTGCACGACGGGCACTTTCTTACTGAAGTACTCGACTGGGTGCCAGTCCACGCCATCGTGTTGCTCGTGGACGACACCAATGCCATAGCCGGACGCATCCGTAGTGATGCGCGTTGGCAGAAGCGGGTCGTATATGCGCAAGACCTCCGCAGATAATAGCGCGGCTTTGAGAGCCAGAAATGATTCCTGCGCATCCTCTCCGAAGTCAAACGACCGATCCTCGCATTGAAGCTTGGTTAAGTGGGCCGCAATCTTCGAGTATCCCTTGATAAAACGCGTGTAGTAGCCGGCAAGGCCGAGGAACGAACGAACATCCGTAACGTTCCGCGGCTCCGACCACTCTTGGATGGCTTGAATCTTGTCCAACAACGGACGGATGCCCTCCGGTGTGACAAAATGGCCCAAGTATTCCAGCTCTTGCCGGACTAATTCGCACTTGTCGCGGTTGGCTTTGTACTTGGCACGGCGGAGCGTCTCCAAGACTCGTCGAAGGTGCTCAAGATGATCCTCCAATGTCCGACTATAGACGAGAAAGTCGTCTAAGTAGACCAGCACGAACTGGTCCAACACTGCACGAAACTCGTTGGTTATTGCCGCTTGAAAGGTCGTCGGGGCGTTGGTGAGGCCAAAGGCATAACCACCCACTCAAAATGCCCGTACCGCGTCTTGAACGCGGATTTATAGCGATCGTACGGCCGGATCGAAATCTGATGATATCCCGACGTTAAATCCAACTTAGAAAAATACTTCGCACTACCCAAACGCTCAAGAAGATCGTCGATACGAGGAAGAGGCCCCGCATTCTTGACGGTTTGCGCGTTGAGCTTGTGGTAGTCAATGCACAATTGTAGATCCTTGTTCTTCTTCCGTACGAAGAGAACTGGCGCTCCGTATGGGGAGCTACTAGGGCGGATCCAGCCCTTGTCCAACAAGTCATCGAGGTGTGCGCGGAGGATCGTCAGCTCCTCCTCACTCATGCGATAAATGCAACCTTTCGGCTGCACGACACCGACCTCAAGAATGATCTCGTGAGAGATCGACCGACCCAGCACCACACCGGTAGGTGACTCGAAGATGTCGGCGAACTCGTCAAGCAACCGCACCACACGGGGGTCCGAAGACAAGTCCGTGGGTGAAGAATCGGCTACCGCGACGGTCCGTAGGAAGCATAGGCCTATCTCGTCGGGCTGCTCGTAAGCCCGGAACGACTCGGCCGTCACCACTTGACGTCGGATCGAAGGGTGCGGAAGAGGAATAGTACAGGGCACTTCGGCGCCGAAAGCATCGCGGACGGTAAGAGTCTGGCAGTGGAAGTTGACCGTGTGATTCGCACTTGCAAGCCAAGGCATTCCCAAAATAACGTCGAAGTCTGTGTCCAAAATGTCGAACGTCACCGGTTCATATGCATGAGGTGTGAAATACACCGGTACGACCTCGATGTAGTTGTTGATAAGTTGCTGCGTCCTTCTGTCCGCCAACTTGATCGTCGTTGGGTTTGCCTTATTCGAACTTGTGTGCCAAGGCCAGCCCTTTGCATAAAGGTTTGGCTCATGAAGTTGCGAGACGTGCCGCTATCCAGCAAAGCGCTGCAGGACGCTTGCCCAAGTTGGATGCGGACATAGAGGAGCGGTGTGTTGTTGTCATCGTACCGCTGCTTGCGAAACTCGCGGGCCACATTCGTCATCCGTCGGCGAAGTTGGTGGTGCATAGAAGGATAGATACATGTGAAGATGAGAGCATAATGCTGCACATTGCAGTCCCGACAAGCGGCCCATGGTCGGGAGAGGAAGCCATGCGAAATCCTCGGACGTGAGCGGGTCCAATACCTCTATGTTGAACTCGCGTGCCAAATCCTGTGAAGAACCACTTGAAGACGATAAGTCGCCGCTGCCGAACGGAGAAGATGCCGCACACACGTCTTGTCCTAGAGCATGAGCATGAGTACCCAGTGTAGGAATGAGTCGGGCAGCATAGTCCTCATAAGAATATAGAAGAGGATTATCGACTTCCGCGTGTGCCTCGGAACGAAGGGCGGTCACCCGCGAAGCGACCGGTTCCGAAGGCGTCGAGAGTGTCGTTGAGTCACTCCCGGTGGTGCTCAGTTTCCCGATTTGCCTTTGCCTTTTGACGGGCAGCCCATTGTGTCGTGGAGATCGTTGTTACACCATAGACAACAACGGAATTTCGTGCGTGCCTTGTACGCTTGTTCGGAGAGACCGTAATGGGACCATGGGACTGGAGCTGCTGCGCCGGGCCCAGGGCTAGATGCGGTGTTTGTCTTCGTCTTGCCGCGTCCTTGGCCTTTGCCGGGGCGGCCACCATCCCGGGCGGCTGCGAGTCTGTCGCCTTCATTGGCAGACACGGCCTCACTAGTTTGTCGGTTGGCGTTGCCGCCGCGACCACGACCACTTTCGGCCGATGCTGATCTCTGCTCGGGCCCGTCGTAGACGAACGGTGGAGGTTCTTAGCCTCCTTGTTCTAACAATAATCTGCACGGCCTTGTCGAAGAGCTCCACCGTTGACATCAGGGTGTTCTTGACGTGAGTCAAGGCATTGCCCAACGCCAGACACGACCTCGAGATGAAGAAGTGTTTGACGGCCTTGAAGCCCATTTGAATGTCTGGGACGGATGTCAAGCGTTGGTACTCGGCAATCCAGTCAACACTTGGCAGCGTGCCTTGTTCGAAGGTCATCAGCTTGTCCATTGCCTTGATCTCCGGCGGCTCTACTTCGAACCGCTTATGCCACGTCGCCTTTAGATCATCCCAACTGATCTTGGTGTGCAAGTCGACAGCCACCACTCCGTACTTGGACAAGATATTGTCCAACCATGCTTGGCACGCGCCCCCCCACCAAGAGTATAAGTACTCATGATGCTTGTGTTCACTTACGTGATGGAGCTGCAACTTGAGCTTGAACTTGCGGAACCATGGAATCGGGTCCGTTTTCGTCGAGCCGCAGAAGATGTCCTGCCCATCGATCTTTGGAGTTGTGTCGTGCGGTTCCGATCTCGAGTGGGTGGCAGCAGTACAGATCCGTTGCTCCAACTGTTGCGTTGCGGTTTGCTGTAACTGCATGCCGTCCTTGAGGGATCCGACGTCAATCTCCAATGCCTCTAGGCGATCGGAGGGGTTGGAGGAGATGGCATCGGGGGCGGCGACGGGTCGCTGCTCCAACTGCTGGAGGCGGCTGTTAACTTGAGCTAACGTGTCGTCGAGGCTGTGGATATCCTCCTGTTGTGTAATGCATGTTGCCAGGAGATCCATGAGATGGGAGAGGAGTAGAGCGATCTTGTTTTCACTCTCTTCCATCTAACCATGCTCGGCCTCGGCCCGCCAGTCCGCTGCCATTGTGACCAAAGCTCGCTCTGCGCTGAATATCTTCTCGCGTCGTTGAATTCGTTCTTCTTCAGCAGCCTTTGCTGCTGCCTCGTCTTGCTGGCGTTGCTGTTCGATTGCCAACATACGTCCCTTCTCGGCGTCCTCTGCCTTCTTCTTTGCTGCAGCTGCTACTGCATCCGATCGTTGCTTGGCTTCGGTAATCAGAAGCAGCATCCGGGCCTGATAGGCCTTGTCCGTTTCCCCGGACTTCTGGTCCATGACGGCTGTTTGCGAGCGAGTGAGCATAGACCCGGCCGGGGGCCTGTTGACATGGTACTCCCTGCTACTGACGTGGCACTGCTGTCGGCTGACGAGGCCTGCTGACGTGGTCTGCTGATGTGGCCTGCTGATGTGGCAACTCACCAATGCCGCTGCAGGGGGTACCCGGAGACAGATAGAGAAGATAAGACCAAAGGGTGCAACAATATAGGTGGGGAGGGATGGCTGGGATAAATCGCCCAGATAAGGAGCCACTAATCAAAAAGAAAAGTTCAAACTTTGCAAAAAAAACTTGAGAAAAAGAAAAAAAAATACTCGTTTGCAAGTTCAGCAGGCCTCCCAATTCCCCTTGAAGTGCGAAATTACCAATGAGAAAAACATTTCGGACTTCAGACTGCCAATGATTATTAGGTAGTGAAAATAATAGAACTGCAAATAAAAAGAATTTCGAAAAAAAAATAAAAAAATATTTGGAATTACTCAGATGAGAGCACGCGGAGTTTGGAAAATGGTAACTGCGAGAGGGATTTCACGTACCGTTTAAAAAAAAACGAATTTCAGAAAAAAATATTCCGGATTTCAAAATAACAGGAAATTGCAAAAGGAAATCGAAATTTTCGAAAAAAATGTATTTCGGATTTCCAACAACGAAATTTTGAATTTTCGGAAGAAAAACGAAAACGGAAATTTCAGGTGTTGCGCTATTGCGATTTTCCACAACAGAAATAGCGAGAAAACAAAATCCAAGAAAAGAAAAAAAAATCAATTTTCGACATTGAGGTCAAAATCGTGATTTTGGGGGCTAACTAGTGTGCTCTAATCAATCAATCAAGACTAATCAGCTACTTTGTCCCCGCACACGTGTCAGATCAGGTTGTCCTGATTCACGTGTGGTGTTCGGATACCAACTGTTAAATGCCCAGTTGGGCGATGTACATATACAACAAGGATCCGCAATGTGATGAAAACGACCGAATGGACAATGCCATGCTAGTGAAATCTCAACGAGCAGTGTACATCCTGATACATACGAAAATGGTGTTTTATAGTGCACTCGAAGAGTTAGATACAAGTCCTGACCTGACCGAGACTGACCTCTCTCACGTAGTACAAGACAGCGGAGCTGAATGCTAGAATACCAATGACAAGCCCACTCAATGTTACAATGCAAACTAAACATACATCATCCTCATCACAAGGTGTGAAGGGGGCCTGGCGCTACACACAGGAAGAATGCGCCAGGTCCAGATCATGCAAAGACGAAGAGGAGGGAAACTGCAATCAGACTCACATACTTCGTCACTTCACATGCATACAAACAGATGGTGAATCACASTGGCGCATATCGCCCAACTCAAAGCTCGAAGATATGGAAACCAAGACACAGTTCAGATGTAAGCTCGCTTCAACAGGCTATGGTGCATCAGCACCCACACATCGCAACTCTTGTCACTGTGTCCAACACCACTGTTCGCTTCACACAGATGTAAGTCGCCTACTTGAAGCTGCGATGGGCGACGATGCCTGTTGGCTTGCTCAATCATCCTATGCTGGGCCTTCCTGAGGTTCTCTACAACAGTAGCTAGTTCTTTCTCGCGCTGTATCGCGAACTCCCTAGTACCGGGCGGTAGCCTCTGAATCTGATCCCGGTTAAGTCCCTCAAACGGTCTGCGCAGTCTAAAGGACTTGTGCAACTCGTTGGGAGTGCGACAGGTAGACAAGTGCACACTGTTATTGTAGGCGTTGGCTACCTTGGGAAGCATCTCATCCCAGTTGATTTGATCAGGTCTAATGTACATACGCAGAACTTGCTGCAGGATCTTATTCATCTGCTCAGTCTGACCGTTAGTCTCTGGATGGCGGCCATACGACATCAACAACTTGGAGCCATAGATTCTCATCAATTCCTGCCAGTTCTGACTAGTGAACCGGGTATCTCTATCACTAACTATTAACAATGGGACCCCGTGCTCACTGACCCAATGATCAAAAAACTTTTGAATCACTAACTCTGTACGTGCCTCAGAAGGCAAAGGAACAAAAACAACA